AGACATTGCATTAGAAAGAAAATCCCGCTTTCGAATTCGATTCATGTATAAAAATCGTCCCGAAGTGGGAGTCGCGTAAGAACTTTGTTGCGATACGACAAGTCGAGGTAACTCCGTTCTTTCGCAAAATCGTTCTCACAGATTCTACGCCATTTATGAAATGCGCACCCGGTACGCACGCGATTACTTGGAGAACTACAGAATTAGGTGTAGTTCTTTTTCCAACACATGGATTTTCGATCTCCTAACTAAGTGCGTATCAGCTCGATCACAGGCGGTATCGGCGATGCGTGTAAATTGAATTACGCGATATTATTGGTAGAATTGTCTAGAATACCTCTTATCCTCGTAGATCGAGCTGTATTTAGCCAAGTATCGGTCTTGACAGCCGGCCCATCCTAGCAGGATCACAACCGGCCGCTTGTCCTCCTCGTACACGAACACGAACTCCTCCCGTTGATTCTGTCCACCTGCGGTCAACGTCTGGTCCTTCGGGGACGGTGGAAACGACGGGAACATGATGTAATAATCCAGATCCTCCTGCTCGCTCATCTCGTCCGATCGCCGTGCCTCCTGTTCACGAGGACGAAAGGAGAGGGAGGGGACGGAGAGAACAAGAGGGAGAGAGAGAGAGAGAGAGAGAGAGAGAGAGAGAGAGAGAGAGAGAGAGAGAGAGGAAGAGAGGATGCAGTCGGGGGTGAGGTAATGCGCCGGGCATGAACTAGCTTCGCCGGGAGGGTGACTTCTACTCGGCTTGAACTCGAGTTTGCGTCGTTCGAAACGCGCGAACCCGCTCGAGGATCGATATCCAAGGGAGTTACAGGAGCTAGGTCGAGGATGACGGCGCATGTGGGCGTCCAGTCGTATGCACATGCAGAAGCGCAAGAGCGCGGGACCGACAGCCCGAATTCGCGAGAGGGAAACGTTTATCACTTTTTAATATATTATTTGCATATAGAAAAATAAAGATGATGCAAATAACATAAATAAATAGAAGAAATTAGTGAATTGGGAAATTCGTGAAAGATGGATTTAATAAAGTCATTATGCGATTTTCCACACGTATGATTATCCGCGCGATCATCTTATTAAATTAATTAATGATTTATTAGTGAGTGAAAATTACGAAAATGAGCGAATTTTTGGGAATACTTAAAATTTCATTAGTCTGTTAACACTTAGGTCCAGTCCTGCAACTTACGGTTAATTCTTAACCGAGGTTCAACTCACTCCTTATCTCTTTCCAATTTTAGAATTGGAAAGAAGTGAGGAATAGGTTGAACTTCGGTTAAGAGTCAGCTGTGAGACTGTGGCACTGGATCTTAGCGAAATCTATTCATTTCTATAATATTTATCAAGTTGTCTGATACGCAATCGAACCCTGGAATGGTTTGAACGAACATTCCGTCCCGCTTATTCGAAAGATCGAAAAAGGAAGGAATCTGTAAGTAGCGTTCCGATGGTAAGAGCCCACTTTTCAATTCTCCGCGATCTCTTCTGATCTCAAGCGAGTGGCGCCAACTGCGGATAGCACGCGAGGCCGTAGAACAGGTTGCCGTCGAGCAGGCGCTTCGCTGGACCGTTCGCAGCATCCGGGAGCTGCGCGCGAGTCCCGTAACGCGCGGGACCAAATTGAAGCGAGCGAGGGAGAGAGAGAAAGAGAGAGAGAGAGAGAGAGAGGGAGGAGGTAGGAAGCGCGTTTCGAAACTCGAAATCTAAAGAGAAGCACTCAGAGCCACGCGAGCGGCCGCGCGATACGGTACAAGTATTCGGACACCGGTGTGAACGACGTCACGTTATGTGCATTGAAAAACGTGCGAGCCACGCGAGGCTCGCTTGTGCCGTCTTGTTTCTCGTGGCGATTACTCTGCCGCTCGGTGAGTGCATTTTTATTTTGTTTTATTTTTTTATTTCACACCTATGAAAAAATACTCCGACTTTTCTATTTATGAAGAAATATATACTTCTTGAATATATTATTTCGTTATGTTATCAATTCTCTTAATTTATTTACATGTGATTTAGTACACAATAACGTAACATATTTATGTAACGCATGTGTAACCGATATTTCATGTTTATTGAATAAGCTTTGTTCAATATTTTATAACGTTGTTGATTTAGTTGCAAATAAAATTCGTGCGGTAAACAGGTATTAAATTGAGTAACTTTTAATTACATACATATATAAATTTATATTAATTAAATATTTTTAGCTTATATATTGAATTAAATTATTAATTTTAATCGGTTTTAGTGATAATTAGTTAAATTGTTATTATGTAAATTACTTAAATTACTATAAATTACGTTAATTGAGAACATATTATATTCATGTGTAATCATAATTACATATACATTAATTATACATATAGATTGATTATGTTACTCAATAAACATAGCTTTTTGAAGGATTAGCTGTACATATGAAATTAATGCAATAGTGATCGATTACGTCGTCTAGTTTTTCACAAAATGGCAATCAATTCCACGATCAATCTTCGAAGCACGCAAGATGATTCAATCTTGAGCACGTCAGCCTGTGTCTGTGTTTTAATTTATATGGCGCGCTTGAAGAACAGGAGAGATAAAAGAAAAAAAGAGAAGGATGTCCACGTCCGCGTCCGAGATAAAGCTTAAAAACCGAGACGAGACGTTTACCTCGTATTTTAAGAAGAGATGGGGCTATGAATAAAGAACGTTTAAGAGACCGTGATAATATGTAAATTTTGTCTCATAGTTTTTAAAAACCGCGTTACGAACGTTCTCGTCTGAAATTAGCCAACTGAGAATCCGCTTCTCATTATTTCACTTCGCCGCGTCTACATTATCTTGTAGAAAACACGCAAGAATTATCATTGAATTAGATTTTATCTGTTAATCGGAAACCGTCGTGCGGAGCAGTGGTACAAGTCAGTAATAAATCGTACATTCCAAAGGGCACGGCGAATTATTTTGGCGCAAGGCAAGACTCCCGAGATCTCTTCTACAAAAATTCCCTCGTCGGCAACGGGACGGAGAAAAACGACGTAATGGAGCGGCTATCTTTACATTAAATCCTCTTGTACTTTCATTCCTTAAAGCGCGAAGAATACGCCGCCCATACGACGTCTCCTCCACCTGCGACGCAGCGGAATGGAGAAGAACGGTGTAATAGAGCGGCTATCTCACATTAAATCCTTTCGTACTTTCATTCCTTAAAGCGCGAAGAATATGCCTCCCTTATACCACACCTCTTCCGTCCGATGGCTCATATCTTAAAAGTGAAAAATAGTCCACTACATCTCCGGGGGAAATTTCCTCGTCGCGCGACGGCAGGAACTCCATTCCAACCACCAGGGTTTTCACCTTTACGAAGCGCGAGCAACTTGAAGCGCGGTCTGTTAATTTTCACAATGCATTGTGGACGGCGCAGTCACAATGAAATGCCAGTCCCCGGCGTCTTTCTATAGCGTGATGTAATTAGTTTTGTCGCTGGACGCGTATTAGCAGATTTACGAATTAACATTAAGTGGATTCTCTCTCTCTCTCTCTCTTTCTCTCACTCTCTCTCCGTCTTTCCCTGCCTCTCATGTGATCCACTTAAACAATGAAAAAACAATGAGCGCCGGGCAATCTAACTTCGCCACTTAACTCGTTTACGATTTATGCGGTTGTTCACGCGGTTGGTACATTCGCACGTAATTACGTCGTTGCATATTCTCCAGTGCAGAACAGGATTAACAAAACGGCACAAGATTTACAAGGGATGAAACGCATGCACACTGTTCCTGCAGTACTTTTTACTCATTTCGGTGCGCTCCACTTATGGCTTAAATGGAGTAATATCGTCCATAAATATCGCAGCGACGACGTTACGTAAAGCTTCAAAATGCGTTTGAGAGAAAGATCTCAATATTCGGAGTGCAGTTGAAACATAATATTTCTGCATCTTTTCCATCGTTTCCAAATGTTTGTACGATCGCTATACAATCGGTCGGTTTCATTAAAATTACGATAATCGCATAGATACGAAGAAATAGAGAATACACTTAAGACTTCTTCACAATCATTCTTATTATATTAATAATAAGAATATCTCTTGCGCAAGACCTATAATTCACCGTTATGACGTAACATAATCTCCTCGTAATCGGTTTTTCCTATATTCGTCTCTGTAGACAGCCGTCAAACACTCAATGAATTATTCAGTCGAAGGGATGAGCTTAGTGCATAATGTGGAATAATTATAGAAAATGGGTTGCGTCGTTTTTCATCGATCGTAGGGAATATTCTTTGGAGGGATTATTTATCCTTTTATGAGAGAGGGGGAGGGAGAGGGAGAGGGAGAGAGAGAGAAAGGGAGGGAGGAAAGTCCCATTGGTCGAGCTCCGGCGCCCCGGAAATTCATTTCGTTCGATTGGCGATGCAACATTACCGGAGGTAATCTCGTCGTCCCCAGTGTCGTGTGTCGTGAGCGAAAATTGACAAGGGATTAACGGCGAGGCCACGCTCCGCGCATCAGCTGCGATGCGAGCTGGTGGAGAAATTCTCCCGTGATGTTCGAGCTTATTGCAGGTGAACGATAAGCGGTTTGCTAGGGGAAACTCTCCCCGAGAGTAGGCGCAGTTTCCCAAAGTCCCATTGCACCGAGTTATTCAAAGCGCGCGCGATTTTGCGTCTCGATTTGAAATTATCCCCGGTCATTTCCTTGCGTTCGTTTTCGGTTCGCAATCAAAAATTGATCGTCGCACATACGAAGACGTTTCAGATTCGCTTCCTCGATGAGGGAAACCCGAGGAGTCCGTTCCCAGGATGCGTCGGGTTCGCACCCGCCCCGAGTTTGCGGACCGGGGTTGCCTCTCTCTCTCTCTCTCTCTCTCTTGCGAAAACTCGATGTAACTTTAAAGGTGATGACCCGTGAATATTACAGATGCGAAATGTTGCGCTGGAATATCGCGTACACGTGAGTGAGCGCGCGGCAAATGAAAAATTGCTGGTGCGCGTGTGACGGTGCGCGCACCGTACCGCCGAAATGTACTCATTTATTCACGCTCATGCGCCGGCATAATGTGTCATACATTATGTTATTCTTGTCGAGGCAATGTGAAAATAAATGTGAAACATTCAAGCGTCCCGATTGCTGATTTAGGCGACGCACCCCCATTAAAGATTTAAAACAGCTTCCCCTAAAACCGCTCTGTATTTGTAGTAAATGGTATATAAATGTAAATCCAGCGTAAATGGGGAATATACTGGCTACATTGGATTCTGGATGCATTTGCGTTGGTCAATCAAAATGATAAAAATCAGAAAGAGCGGTGCGATTTACATTCAGTGGAATATATTATAACAACGTCGTTTACCACTGATTGAATTTAATTAAACTTCCGCGACAGAATCACCACTCTGGTGATCGTGATATTACGGTGGTCGGTGGTATTACGATAGAGAAAACAAACGAATTACTCTCTGTGGCCTAAGGCGAAGCTTAGCTGCTCGCTCTAATTGTTTCTAAAGTTGAAACAGTTTCTCTTCATTCCGCTTTTGTCATGTGTGTTTTCTGTTCCTTCATACTTCCCTGATGATAGACCGAAAACAATCGGTTTATAAATAAGCCTTGCAAAGAT